CCTTCTAACTTCATTGAATTAACAGTCCCAACACAGAGCCACCGAAAGTACAAGAGAATGAAACACTGCCCTCTCCTGTGCCATCCTTACGCTTGTTTCCTATGTTTGAGCACATTGTTGCAGCCACTGTGTCAATTCCTCTGGTTGGGGACCTTCCTCTTTTTCCCTATCCCTTTCCTATACCAAGCATGATGTCATTCTCCAAGGAGGGGTCTCTCCTGTTAACATGTTCAAAGCACGTGAGGCAAACGCTCACCACCCTTGCCTCTAAGGAGCATTCTGAGTGTCCTTCAAAGACAGATTTACTTGTTCTTTTGGCAGTCCATGATACTTTCAATGTTCTTCACCAGCACCATAATTCAAATGCACACATTCTTCTTCTCTCACCCTTATTCAGTGAGGTAGTTAGTTTATTGTGCCAACCTGGCTGATAAACACATGTGGGGTTAATTGAAGGGCGGAGGGATAAATGGCTCGGTGAGCCTCGCCTTTCTAGTTCTTAGGTCTCTTGCTTTCTGATGGTTGGACCAGGGTGCAGCTGCCTTAGCCAGTTCCCTGCTTCAACTTGCAAGGCTCACTTCCTGCGAGACATCCCCAAGGAGAAGCCACATGGACTTACCCAGATGTTGCCCTGGGTACTGGAGCAGCCGTGTAGAGACCCCTGCCAGCGCAAAGATGCTTACACAGTCCCTGACTCGGCTTTCCTCCTGTAGTTGGTATCATTGCGTCTGTTTTGTGAGATGGAGGAGGACTTTGTGGATTGGTGTTGGACATATGGGTTAATGTTGGACTGGGTTGGGATGTTTTCTTGATGTGCACTTACCTTTTATATAAAACTCTCTCTTATACTATGAGTTTCTGTAGATTTGTTTCTTTAAAGTACCCAGACTAATACATTCAGTGTCCAAATTTCACATGCATATGAGGCAATTAAAAATACTATGGCTTGAGCCAGGTGCACATTAATCCTAAAAGCAACATCTTTCCAATGAGGTCTTATGGAGCATATTTACCTACTGCAATACACAATTTGTCATCTTGATTACTGCTTCTATGAGCATTGATTATGGATCCAAGTTAGACAGAGTTCTTGACAACTGCAACCTTTTCTCCATTTATCATGATGTTATCTATTGATCTAGTTGCGAGTACTTGGTCTGACATTGATTGTAATCCATGCTGTAGACGGCAATCCTTGATCTTCATCAGCAAGGATTTCAAGTCCTCACTTTCAGCAGGCAAAGTTGTGTCATCTGCATATCACAGGTTGTTAATAAGCCTTCTTCCAATCCTGAGACCACATTTTTCTTCATGTTAGTAGCTTTCTCTGATGATTTGCTCAGCATATATGCCGAGAGGATCAAACCCTGATGGGCACCTTTCCTGATTTTAAGCCAGGCAGTATTTTCTTGTTCTGTTTACACAGCTGGTCCATGTGCAGATTCTGCAGAGCACAATCAAGTGTTCTGGAATTCCCTTCTTCCCAAGGCTAGCCATAGTTTGTTATGAACCAAGTACTCACAACTAGACCAATAGATAGCATCATGAGCGAGAGACAAGAAAGGCGAGGCTCACCGAGCCATTTATCTCTCTGCCCTTCAATTAATCCCACTTGTGTTTACCGGCCAGGCTGGCACAATAAACTATCTCAGTAGAGATAAGAGCTCATGACACATGCAACCGAACAGCAGGAATGGGAAGAGAGGTACCAGATGGGAAGGGTGAAGTGGGGAGGAGGGGAAGAAAGGAGAACCGATCACAATGATTGACACACAACCACACACACCCCTCCAGGGGAAAGAACAATGGAAACCATGGGGGAAGGGAGACGGTTGTCTGTGAGACATGGAAATAATAATTTATAATCTATCAAGGCGTCACAAGGTGGGGAGGATGTGGGGTGGGGGGGAAGAGGAGCTTATACCAAGGCTCCATAGAACATAACCATCTAGAAAAGAATGATGGCAACATATGTACAAATATGCCTGATATAATTGATGTATGGATTGTAATAAGCATTGCAAGAGATCTCAATAAAAATATTTTTAAAAAGGATAGGTTTATACAGCGAGAAGGAATATAACAGCTAATTAGTCCACACAACAGTACAGAGGGCTCAAGTCAACTCACTTTTGTGGAACAGTTAATATACTGAAGGTGCTTCCACTCAGGTGGTTTGCCAGTCTAAGATCAAGGAAGCAGACAGCAGAGTCTGCCTTCAGGCACAACAGACAGAGTTGTCCCATGGGCAGCAGACAACAGGGTGGGGCAGCAACAGTCAGTAGCTCCGGAGCTTAGTAAAGCAGGGCCCAAAGGGATCTTGAACTCAAGCGATGCACAGGTCCACCAGACTCGAGCATGGCAAAGCATGTCTGAAAGGAGCCTCAAGCTCTACTGATAGGATCCATAGTTGGCTAGACCCCACAGTTAGTGCAGCACACAGCTGAGGCAAGCAGCAGCATGCTGGTCCAATCACCAGGGAAGAAGAGAGACCGGATGCCAGCTGTGAAAAGTATTTATCTCAGTCACCCTCCAATCAAGCTGCGGCCTGTTAAACTCTGCCCACATGTTCCTATGGAGGCTTAGTTGGTACAATAAATCTAAACATCTATTAAGGGCTCAAGTAGAAAGCAAATGTTTTGAGAATGATGATGGCAACAAATGTACAAATGTGCTTGACACCATGGATGTATGTATAGATTGTGATAAGAATTGTATGAGCCCTCAATAAAATGATTTTTTAAACATCTAACTATCACAATGTATATATATTCATTAACTCAGATTGAATACTATATGTTATATGTATATATATTATACACACATATTTTTTTTCAGTGCCACAAACCAGAAATTTTTTTCATTTTTTTGTTAGTTGACTATAATTTTGATTTGGGTGTCTGTAGCATGCTTACTTAGGAGCGCTGGTGGAATAATGGGTTATGCATTGGCCTGCTAACCCTAAGGTCAGGAGTGAGGAACCACCAGCTGCTCCATGGGAGAAAGACTATCTCCTCTTGTAAAGATCAGCTTTAGAAACCCATCGAAATGGTTCTACTCTGTCCTATAGGGTTGCTATGAGTTGGAATTGACTCAGTGACAGTTGGGGTTACATTCCTACTTCTCATCCAGCCAATTCTAACTCATAGTGACCCGGTAGTACAAAATAGAACTGCATGAGAATTACATGAGCTGGAACTTAGAAAAACAAAATAAACTCACTGAGATTGAGTCCATGCAGACCCATAAAGATACTATAGAACAGAACAGAACTGCCCCTGAGAATCGCTGAGATTGTGACTGCTTATGGGAGTAGAAAGCTCTTTCAACTGCAGAGTGGCTGGTGGTGTTGAACTACGGACCTTTATGATCATAGTCCAACACATAACCACAAAGCCAGAAGTAGTGTATTCATTGTCCTCACATGTGGAAATTAGACTGTTAAATTATCTTGTCTAGTGCCCCACGGATGACCATGTGTGTGACTTTAATATGTTTAAAATTGTAATGCTATTGGACAACCTACATGTTTATTTTTCTCTGCTTCAAGAAATGTACCCATGCCAACTTTCTCTAAACACTATGCACTTAAAGCCATTCCTTCCCCTGTATATCAGAAAGAAATGCCATTAAAAGTAAGGAATATCAACATATCTTTACTAATATTATAGTATAATATTAACCTTAAGTTCCCATCATGTCTCCTAAGCTTGCACTAGCCACACTGTTCTACTCGTCACAACACCTGGTCTCTTTTTTTCTGAATATTCTTACAATGTTCTCCTTTGTGCCCACTCTTGCATGGGATAATTCCTATTCATCTAAAAGACTAAGTTCAGTGCCTATTTTCCCTTTTAAGCCCAGGGGTCTCCATGTGGCTTCTTCGGCTCCAGGGCTCTAGCATAGCTCCATGTGTCTTGTCAGCTGTAATGTCTCCCAGGTTGAGAGCCTTAACAGTAGAGAGTCTCCAAAGGAGTGAGCACAGAGAGAGGGTGTCTCCCATCTCCAAGGATGAGAGACAGGAGTTCCCAGAATCCTCAGAGGAAGGCCATGCCCACATAGAGGCTTCATTGGCTGTACAATGATTGATAGGCTTGACTCCACCCCTTCACTCTTAATCCTCAAATTGACATCAGATTATGTAACTACCACATATCCCTTCTCATAAAGTTGTTTTATTTTAAGTTTTACTCATTTATGGAAATGGAATTGATTGACTTTTTTTTAATGAAGTCCCTTACTCATAGACCATTTCTCTAATTTTGTGTGCCAGTCTGTTATTTCATTAAAAGGTGACCTTGAGATATGTTTGTTCACAGATTAAAGAGTGCTTCATAGAAGTATTCTAAGGGAGTCATCTAGTCTCAACTAGTTCAGAAAATATAGATTTAAAAGAAAACTTCCCTGTATAGGCTGCCTGGATTTGTATTTCTAGCCTTTTAGACTGTGAGTTAATAAATTTCTGTTCAGCCTATCCACTTGCAGTATTTCTGTTATAGCAGCACTAGTTAAAACAGTAAAGTAACCTCTGATCCTTTGCTTTGCCTAGTTTTTAAAGATTTTGAGTTCTGTTTTGCATGTTTCTCACCTTCCATCAGTTTCCATCAGTGTTGCCCTGACAAAACTGATGAAAATTGAAACAGTGTTGGTGTTTAGAGATTGAAAGAAGAGAGTAGAGGTGGATGGAAATGGGGGCGGGGCGTAGTGGAAGAGAGGGAACAATTTTAGGAGGAAAAACTCGTGGGTTATGTAGCACAATGCCTAATGTTTATTTGATCTTAAACTTTGGGTCAGTGGTCTACAAACAAACAGATATCAGTGCACATTCACATAGACCAATGGAATGCTTGGGAGAGTGAAAATCAGAAATGTTTTAGTGTATTTGTCAACTATCTTGTTATCATCTATCTAAATTACTAAAAATTCTCAAATATGTGATAAAGGAAACCAATAACCGATTGCTCTGGCCTATAGTTTTGAAACTCTTTTTTTTTTAGTGACATGTTCCTTCTTATCTGTATCAAAAGTCATACTGAGTAATGAATTCTGGGTTGCAAAACAGAATTTATTCTTGCACCTGTCTTTGAGTGTTTGTCCGCAGATCAGACAAACACAAACACAAGTGCGGTAGTATTGAAACTTCAAGAACGATGAAACCACTATTTGCACTTCCTCTGGGTAAACTTTTAACCTCGCCTGCCATCAGTTTCCCCATGTGGTAGATATATAATCGTTTGTCAATTTGAGGATGAAGAGTGTAGGGGTGGAGTCTAGCTTGTCAATTAGATCATAGCCAGTGAGGCCTCTGTGTGGGCATGGCCTTCTCCTGAGAATTCTGGGAAATCTGGTATTTCGTCCGTGGAGGTGTGAGACTCTGTTCACACCCTGGGAGACATAGTAGCTGACAAGACACCTGGATCCACCCTGATGCAGCCCTGGGTGCTGGAGAAACCATGCAGAGACCTCTGCCAGCACTGAAATGTTTCCAGTGCCACTGGATCCAAAGACTTTCTACCCACTGGCCTGTGATCTTCTACATTCGGCGTCATTGCATGTGTTTTGTGAGTCTGAAGAGGATTTTATAGATTGATATAAGACATATGGGTTAATAGTGGACTTATGGACTTGATCGGGCCTGGGCTGGGATGTATTCTCAATGTTCAATTGCTCTTGTATATAAATCTCTTCCTTACACACATATGAGTGTCTCTATAAATTTGTTTTTCTCGTATTCCTGGTCACCCCATTTGTTAATAAGGTTTTCAATAGATGATTCCAAAGTTTTTTTCTCTATTCATATGTTTTGGGAGTTTACAGGTTTTGAAATATGACCGTATTTTGATATGGTTCTTAACGAGATTTGACTGATCTGTAGATACAAGTCAGGAGGGAAATGTAAGAAATATCACTATTTACAAAGCTGAAAATTAATGCCTTAATAAATTGTGAACTGGATTATTTCTTATGAAGTTATTTCCACTCTTTCGATATGTAATTGTCTTACTGTTTTCATAGACACCCTGGTAGTGTAGTGGATTATGCACTGGATGTTGACAAACCGCAAGGTCAACAGTTGGAAACTCACCAGCAGGTCTGTGTGAGAAAGATGAGGCTTTCTATTGCCATAGAGTTACAGTCTCAGCAATCCAGAGGCAGTTCTACTTGGTCCCAGGAGCCCTACGAGTCAGAATCAACTCTCAATGGCAGTGAGGTCGGGGTTGGTTTCTATTTTCCTATTTCTGATCAGATTTCAATCAGGTGAAACTTCAGGAATTTTCCCACCAGAGCACAGCAAAGTTTTTAATAGATTGTGTTTGTCGGAAACAGCACTGAAACCTGGAATTATTAACATACATTTAAAAATTGAAGATAGTTCTAAGCAGATGGGGGTAATATTTAGGCGATTAAGCCTAATCCATAAAACACCAACTGGGTAATGAGACTTTAATGTTCTCATTTTTCCATTAATCTGAAGTGTTCAGGGCTTTCAGATACGTTATTTTAGTACAGTCACTATGGAACAAATGTAACGTTGTGCTATGGAAAATGTATTCCTAAAATGTGTATTTTCCCATCTGTATTGAGAGATCTAATTCCTTTTCCATGCTTCCATAATCTTGCATAGCTAAATATATAAGAATTATGGTTTTATACTTTGTTATGCTTATTAATATGTAAAATTACAGTCAGAGTCTATGATAGTTTTCCAACTGAAAAAAAGGACAAAATCTAGCCTTCTTTAAGTAATAATAATATTGTTGCTACTAAGAATCAAAGCACACTTTAATTTTATAAACAATTGAATCATTTCTCTATTACATTCCAGACATGATAATGACTTGGTATTTATATAACTCGATGGAACAAATTGGAAATGTTATCTTGGAATAGGAATGTCAGAGTTTCCAGAAATGGTGTGTGCTCCTGAAGATTTGGGATCACAGGATGCTCCAAGGTGAATTTGAGAAATACTTTCTTAAAAAGTCACCATGCTCCTTGGCATGCAACTCCTGCTGTTAAGAAATATGTTTGGCTCAAAAAATATTTTACTTTTAAAATAAAAATGATACTTTATGTTAGAAATTGTTCTGCCAGGCTCACTTGGAAATTCCACAATAGGCCAATAATCCAAGTTCTTATCATGACATAATTTCTAATGTACTTCTGTAAGGATCTGTAAATATTTTGATGAAACATGTCAATGTACCATTAAAGATGAACAAGTAAAGCCATGTCTAAATTTCCTATTTACCAACCACATAGTTTAATTGGTTTCCAAAAATGAAACCAGAAGTGTGAACATCTTTTTTTTCTTTTTCTTTTTTAATCATTTTATTGGGGGCTCCTACAGCTCTTATCACAATCCATACATACATCCATTGTGTCAAGCACATTTGTACATTTGTTGCCCTCATCATTCTCAAAACATTTGCTTTCTACTTGAGCCCTTGGTATCAGCTCATTTTCCCCCTCCCTTCTGCCACCCCCTCCCTCATGAACCCTTAATAATTTATATATTATTATTATTTTGTCATGTTTTATACTGTCTGACATCTCCCTTCACCACTTTTCTGTTGTCCAGCCCCCAGGGAGGGGGTTATATGTAGATCCTTGTGATCAGTTCCCCCTTTCTACCACACCTTCTCTCCACCTTCCCAGTATCACCACTCTCACCACTGAATTCCCTGTGTTTCCAGTTCCTATCTGTACCAGTGTACATCCTCTGGTTTAGCTGGATTTGTAAGGTAGAATTGAGATCATGACAGTTGGGGGGAAGAAGCATTTAAAAACTAGAGGAAAGTTGTATGTTTCATCATTGCTACACTGTACCCTGACTGGCTCCTCTCCTCTCTGGGACCCTTCTGTAAGGGGATGTGCAGTTGCCTACATATGGGCTTTGGATCCCCAATCTGCACTCCCCCTCATTCACAATGATATGATTTTTGTTCTTTGATGCCTGATACCTGATCCTTTCGACACCTTGTGGTCACTGAGGCTTGTGTACTTCTTCCATGTAGGCTTTGTTGCTTCTGAGCTAGATGGCCACTTGTTTACTTTCAAGCCTTTAAGACCCCAGACGCTGTATCTTTTGATAGCCGCAGCTTTCTTCACATTTGCTTATACACATATTTGTCTTCAGTGATCATGCCGGGAAGGTGAGCATCATGGAATGTTCAATCGAACAAAGTTGTCTTGCATTGAGGGGGTGCTTGAGTGGAGGCCCAATGTCCATCTGCTACCTTAATACTAAACCTATAAATATATGCACATAGATCTACTTCCCCACCATCGTATACAAACATATTTACATATGTACATGCCTGTATTTAGACCTCTATAAATGCCATTTGCCTCCTAGTTCTTTCCTCTATTTCCTTTTACTTTCCTCTTATTCAACTATCATGCTCAGCCTTCATTTGGGTTTCAGCAATTCCTCTCGGTTACATTGCCCTTGATCAAGCCCTACCAGGCCTCTTACACCCTCCTTGCCACTAATTTTGGATCACTTGTTGTTCCCTTGTCCCTGAATTGGTTAACACCACTTCTTTTCCTCCACCTTGCCCTCTCCCATGTCCCCCCCCACAACCATCGGTCCCGTTGTTTTCTCCTCCAGATTGTTTATCCAGTCTATCTTATCTAGATAGACTTGCAGAGATAATAATATGCACCAAAAAACAACACAGAGCAAAACAAAGTGACAGAAGAAAACAAAACAATAACAACAACGACAACAACAAACAATGATAAAAAAAAAAAAAAAGCAAAGCCTGTAAGTAGTTCAAGATCTGTTTGTTGACCTTTAGGTGTGTTTTCCAGTTGTGTCTTTTCATTTTTAAAGCAGAGTCTATTTGCTCCCCACTCCACCTGCTTCTCCCTGAGGGATTTCTCAGCTGACCCCATGCATAACAGAACTAAAGGCTGCCTGGTCTGTGTCATCACCATGAAAAATTGAAGATCAGACAGTTGTGGCTCTTAGAGTTTTCACTGGCTGCAATTTGGAAGTAGATCACCAGGCCTTTCTTCCAAGCTTGTCTTCGTCTCCAAGCTCTGCTGAAGCCTCTTCCGCATCAGAGCCTTTACTAACAGATTAACTCCAAAACCAAATGCACTGCCATTGAGTGGATCTCAACTCATCCTTATAGGACAGGGTGGAACTCCCCCTATGGATTTCCGAAACTGTAACTCTTTACAGGAGTAGAAAGTCTCATCTTTCCCCCATGGAGTGGCTGCTGGCTGTGTGCTTAGCAGCTCAGTATTTAACCACTCTGCACCTACGATCTGCTGCCAGAGGCAGATGATAAATTAACTAACTATTCACACAGAATCAAAAGTGGCGAAACCTCTAAGAGGATTAAAATAGAGGTTACCCTTTATTTTTGCCAGGAAGACATTATTGACCTAAGAGTGTGTTGACATTCTCTCAAGTGCCAAATATGTCATAACGTGTGTAAAGTCAACCTCCATAAAGCTACAAGTTAATACTGCGGGCTTTCACAACCTATGGTTTCCATCGAGAGGTTTCCAACGATTAAGTTAATTTTCTGGGAAGTAATGTAGGCACTCTAGGGTCTGAACTAACTCTTTTAAGCTATTAGGACAATTTATTGCTTTGTTTGTGAAATATTCCTCGGGCGACTGTAATGATCTTAAATTTATTCAAAATATCAGGCTGGCCCTTAATAAGAAACAGTAAGGACCTCTCTCTTGTGGGAAGACATAGAAATAAAGAAGTAAGATAGCTTTCTCCGAGCTAATTTATTAAATTGACACAGGCCAGACTTGAGCATAGACTATTCAAGCAGTCTCTTTAAATGAACCTGGCAGTGATTTATTTGAATCTGCTTAAAACCTTTATATGTATCATCTCTACAGTTCAAGGGTTAGCTCTAGCCTAATTCAAAGTTTATCATTTAAAATGAACAGAAAACTGCCCTGAAAAGGGCATGACTTAACAGCCTTATGCTACTATGACGGAAGCATCACAAGCCGATGCCTTCAATACGCTGAAGTTTAGTTGCTCATAGTTTAGGTATAAGGAAGTGTGAATTAGGATGCCAGCTGGTGGCGGGGCTGGGGAGAGATTTCCTCTCTGTTGGCTCTAGATATGGTCCTTGTCTCCTTCCAAC